TAGGAGTAATAAAATCTTAAAGTTTTTATTTTGAACTTTTTACTATAAGATTTTTCTTTAAATTTTTAAAATTTTATATGTTTTTATTAATGAAATTTTTTTTACATCTAATATAGGTCTTAATTTTTACAAATAACAAAAGTTGTCATTCTTTATTTAAACTACAATTTCAATTAAGAAACTATAGGTTTAAAATTAATATTCAAATGATTGTAAATTTTTTTTTAATTAAACAATTTTTTAAATTTTGTATATTTTTAGTCTATAAGTAAGTTAAATTTTTTACTTTGTAGTTTAAATATAAATTTTGCAAAAACATAATCCTTACTTTTAATTTTTATTTAAAAAAATTTTAATTAAATATATCAAAATTTTAAAATAATTGATCAGAAGTATTTTTATAGTAAAATTCAAGGCAAATTTGCCTTAAATTTCAAATGGTTTAAGGGATAACATATTATATTTATTGATTTATTAATCAATTTTCTTTAGACACTCCTATCAAGAAGTGCCTTCTTCTAAATACTTCCATCAATTGATCTTTATTATTTGGAGGTGGGTGTTTTATTGATAGAGGTTAATTTAATGCTGATTCGGATTTTCTTTTTTCTCGAAAGTTTTTAATGATCTGTTTCATTCTAAAAAAATCAACTACTGTAAGTTAGATCTTTATGAATTTGAATATAATTATCAACATGAATTGGAAGTGAAAAAAAACGAATATAGCCATTATCCCAAATAAGGAAATTGAAAACCAGTTCAAGAGCTATAATCCTGTGATTGTATTGGTTAAATGCATCTAATAAGTATCAAGAATTTTAGAATATATCTGGATGTGTGCGAAAGAGTGTCAAAATCATAAGATTTGCTTAACGCATAAACATGTTCATATTTATTTTATGATTGTTGCTGAGAGAAGATTGAGAATATAAAAAATAGTATGGAAAAGTCAGAATCCCATAGTTTATTATAATGCACTCTCCGTTATCAATCCGAACCAATAGAATTAATTTGTCAAACACCAAACCGATACCAAGAATTTAGACCTAACCTCTACCCTCAACACTATCCCAACAATCTATATAGCCCATTACTGTAAACTACAATTATCAAAAAATAAATAGCATTAAAGCAACAAATATAATTCAACCCTTTTCAATTATCTTACCACTTACATTCTGCAAATGCTTCACTATTACCTCTCCATAATTTCACACATATTTTAAATAAACAAACAAACAATATATCATTCTATTCTTTATAAACCTAATTACACACCAAAAAACTGCTAATATGTGCTATTTTAAAAAAATATCAATTTAAACAACTTAAATATCTAACCAAAATAAACTGTGTGCTAATTTTCTGACATTCACTGATATCAATTCTAAAGCACAGATTGCCTAGACAATATATCCCGCTACAATTTTATATTTTATAAAGTATTAAATTAAGACTGTTACTTTTATATACTATATATATTTAATACACTATTTTAAATTTCTTATATCGGAGCAGGAAATCTAAAAGCCACAGTTCTCTGTATAGAATAATATGTATGCCATGAAACTGCTATTATAGCTGTTTTCAAAAAGGTACGACCGGTCGCACATCATGGGAAATTCACAATATTTTCCATCTCCTACGTTTGAGAACCTCTCTAATCTTAATTTTTACTTATCTAAATTCCAGATTCTTCAGTTATTCACACATTATTGGAAACAGCTGTAAGAAAAGCAATTTTAGTATACAACCAATGAGATACAATTTGGTTTTACTTGTCAATTATAAAATTTTTAGATTCCCTATATCGGCGCAGGAAATCCAAAAACCTCAACGTTTTGCATAGAAATAACAAAATCAAATTTATCTCATTGAGATAAATCAAAACCATTTGTCATACGTACTTAATAACAATTATTCATGTTTATAACCGGTTTTACTTTTTATATGTTAAAACCGAGCTTAATCGGTTTTAACATATGAAAATAAAACCGGTTCCAAACTTTAATTGAGAATGGTGAATAAATTTGCTCTTGGCGTATTATTCTTATAGTTAATAACCTAAAATTTATGTACTGTACGACCTCCAATTGTGCCTTCTTTTAGAATTTGTATTACCAGTATAAATAAGCACGAAGTGCATCTGGTTAAAATGAAAAGTCCCTATATGCTAAATGTTTACTGGATTTATGTATGTACAGTACGTACAAATAAGATGTAAAAATTATTCAAGAAAAATTAAAAGTATGCATTGTCAATAAAGTTCCACATGATGTGTGACCCTCTAATAAATATAAACTATTGCACTTTCATCTCATTATTCGCAAAATTTTATGGACGAAAAAAAGCCAAAAAAGCTAATTAATGATCCTATCCATGTAAATTTTTCACATAATAATTTAAATTGAAAAGGTTTAAATTGTTTGGTTTTGTTTACGAATGTTTATTAAATAGGGGTACATGGAATTCGAAGATTGGGCAGTAAAATTTATAGATACACCACAATTTCAAAGATTGCGTGATATCAAGCAATTAGGAACTGCTTTTTATGTTTTTCCAGGTGCGACTCACACTCGTTTTGAACACAGCTTAGGTAAGAATAAATAAAGTTGCAGGAATATTTACATCTTTTAGTTACGACCTTAAGTTACATCAACACGTCATTATAATAGGTTTAACTAAATGACGTGAATATTTCTGCGACTATAGAATAGATTTTTTATTCTTTTTGTACTATAGAAATGAAAAGATAATTTAACAATGGGTTGTTACAGGAACGGCACACCTTGCTTATACTTTAACCAAAAGATTACAGGAACAGCAAGGCAAAAATGATGATGATGATCGCAATCTTAAATGTGTGACTTTGGCCGCTTTGTGTCATGATCTTGGTATGTTATTCACTTAATACATTTTTTGAATAACAATTAAATTAAATTATTTATATTCATAAAGGACATGGACCATATAGTCACCGATTTGAGCATGACTTTATTCAAGGTTGCCTAGGGTAAGTTAAAAGTAGCATTAACAAATGCTATATATGTAATTGCATATCAGTATAATAATATATATATTTTATTATTATATAATTAGAATGGAATGGAAACATGAGGATGGATCCATAACAATGTTTAAAGATCTTCTTGAAAAGAATTCCATCAAATTGGGTTCTAACGATACATTCCATGATGAGGATGTGGAAATTATTGAGGCACTTATTAAGGGTAAAAGAAATTGGCAAACCAAAAGGTGAGTTATTTTCTTTTATAATGATTATGTAGCATTACCCTAATCATAATATATTATTTTACATAAATTCAAGAAAAATACCAAAGTATCTCTTTGATATTGTCAGCAATGAGCGTAATTCTATAGATGTTGACAAATTTGATTACTTCGCACGAGACTGTTATTATACAGGAGTGAAACGATCATTTGATTTTTCAAGATTGATGCGACTTTCTCGTGTTATGAATGATAAGATAGTTTATTATTATAAAGAATGCTATCTTATTTATGATTTGTTTCATACAAGATATTCTTTACACAAAACAGTATATAAACATCGTATTGGTGTGTTATCACAACAAAATTTACTCAGTGTCTTTATGGTCATAATTATCAATATTGACAAATGTTAATTTTAGTCAGAGCAATAGATCATATGATATGTGATGTGCTTAAAGAAGCAAAGCAATATTTGGCAAAGAAGTATGGTTTTGAAGATTTTAAAGATGCGATCTGTGATGCTGAAAAATATATACGATTAAGTGATTCTATTTTTCATGAAATTGAACATTCGGATGACAAAGAAAAAGTACTGTACTTGAGCAATTGTATTATATTAGTAGTTATAATTATTCTATGTTTCACTAACGATATTTCAATAATGTTTATATTTAGGTATTAGAAAAATCAAAAGGAATCATTAAACAGGTTAGAGAAAGGAAATTCTATAAACTTGTAGATGAGTGTTTAATCGAGCCAAAGGACGAGAATGAGAAAGTATTGTGTATACATTTTTTTTAGTTTAAAACTTTTTTTTTTTTTTTTAAGTTTTCACATAGTTTTTTTTTAGAAAAATATCAAGAAAGAAATTATAGAAGAAATTATTAACAGTGGTGCAACTTTATGCGGTGAACACTTAAAGAGTGATGTTGTAATTGTTGATTGGCTAGGTTTTGATTATGGAAAAAAAGATAAAAATCCAGTGAAATATGTCAAATTTTATAACAAAATTGACAAAGAACCATTCAATATTAAGCGAGAGGATGTAAGCTATCTTCTTCCTATAGTTTACAAAGAAGAAACAATTCGAATATATTTACGTACTAATGGAAAGGAAGAAAAGGTAATATCTAACCAATATTGTTTTAATCAAAAAGACTACTAATTAAATAATTTTTTTTTTAAAAAAAAGACTGAGCTAAAAAAAAGTGTTGACCTAATTAAAAATGCTTTTCGTGAAAAAGCAAAAAGTCTAAATATAATTAAGTAAAGATCTTTAAAATTGCTCAAGAAATAAAGTTATTTCAGAAAAACTTATAATTATTTTTTTCATTAGGGAAGAGGAGGAGGAAGATAATAGTGAAAGTGAAGATAATAATGACAAGAATGAAATAAGTAAAAAGGATAAAAGAACTAGCACTTCTAATGAAACATCTCAATCATCAAAGAAGATTTGTAGATAAGTATCTGCTTAACTATTTGATAATTCGATTAATAATCATTAAGTAAACATTATGATTTATATAAAAGTGATACATAATTTTGTTCCTTTATAGTTTTATAGAATTATTTTTGCTTAAAGTTTACATATACTTAGAAAAAAAAATACCTATTTATTCGTATATAAAAACTAATCAATATCTCACGAACGATTGATCAGAATTATATACTTTTGGTACCATTCGATTCGTCTCAATGAGACGAATTGAATGGTACCAAAATTATATAATTCTGATCAATCGTTCATGAGATATTTATTGCTATTCTCTCAGATGAAAATCTTTTGTTTTGTGATCTAATGTAAAATTATACGTATTGATAATGCAATTTAAAATTTCCGTATTTTATTTTAATTATATAAACATTTAGAATTAAAATAAAAAATTTTCATCGAATTTGATCAGTTAATCGCCGAGAAATCTTCATCCAAAATTTTAAAACACTTGTAAAAGAAAAAACATTACTTTTTTTTGAACTTAGGGTGTTCTCAAGCCCATTTTCGATGAGATTGCAAATCAAAAATGTGTACCAGGTTGTGCTCCGGATTGTCCGGAAATCAATCCAAACGATCATTAATGATATCATCGATTAATTAAATAAATTACCCTCATATTTCGTTTATATTTCGCCTCATTACTTCACTTCATATTTCGCTTCATACTTCACTTTATATTTCGTTTCATGCTTTGCTTTACATTTCGTTTCATGCTTTGCTTTATATTTCGTTTCATAATTTGCTATATTTCATTTCATACTTTGCTTTATATTTCGCTTCATATTTCGCCTCATTTTTCTTTATATTTCGCTTTGCTTTATATTCGCTTCATACTCTGCTTTATATTTCGTTTCATACTTTGTTTTATATTTGTTCCATATTTCGCTTCACATTTCGCTTCATATTTCATATTTCTCTTCATATAAAAAAATAATAAAAAAGCAATAATAATAATAATAATAGTGCAAATTGATTCGTTTAACTTGTCTGATTTACCTACTCCACTACAAAAATACTTCTATCTAATAATTCTTTTAAAATAAAAAATTATATTTAACTTGAACCAATGGTAAATCTGAAAAATAATATTGGACAGCTTAATGTGGATTTATACGTGGATCTTAACAGCTAGAATATGCCTTAATTAGCTAAGCGAATTTAAGGAAATATCAAAGATCACTATGCGGCTAAGAAAAAACATGAAAAAACCGAATCTTTATCATCGGGCGAACTGGGTGTTTACCTCTATCAATGAAAATTACCGTAAAAACCGAATAAATAAAAAAGAAAAACTTTCAAAAATAAAAAATTGCATAATTTATCAAAGAACATTAACATATGCAAATAAAACTGATAATAATATAATTATACATATTATTATGTGTTGTAATATTTGTGCGAAGTATATAATTAATGAAAAGAAATAACCGTGTGCTAAATCAAAAATTTTCCGGACATTCATTCCGGACCATCACGTAATCATCCGGATCCATCGCAACCTGGTACACATTTTCGATTTACGATGAGATTAACTAGTCGTTTAGGCATAATTACATAAAATTTTTCGTTGACTATTTGAATAAGCAAGTAATGACATAATTGGAGTTTCTCAAACATTGTCTTCGATGTGATAACTAGTGATTATGATGATGCTCATTTAATATAATCAATAAAATTATATTGATACTTGAGCTATTCTTATTATTCTTATATTGTAATTATCAAATGTCATCGTCAAAAATTAATAAAAAGAGAAAGCTATCCAAGAAGTAGTGACTTTCAAAAATAAACCATTGAAGCAAAGACTTCGGCTGCTCCTATTGCTCTATTTACCAATTTTAACATGCTATTTCAGCCGCAATATCCTGCACCTCCATTTCTTATTAATCCGTTTGCTTTAAATAAGCCACTGCCGAATATAAAGAAGTCATATAGGAGATGGCGGGCTTCTTCATGTTTTCTATTTTCCTTTAGAATAAGGAGTAAAATAATAATTCGTTGACGTCGAGAATGATGATCCATGATTAACTGTTAAGTTATTGATCCATGACTAAGTTATTTGAGCGATCTCTTTGAATACTCGATTAATCTATAATAAAAAAGATGGTCTTTTATAATATCGTTGTAAATTGAAATGATAAACTCTATCTTTTTACTAATAAAAGTACAGAAGTAGGTCGCTCTCAAGCACCTCAATCAATGAGTCAAAAAGTGTCTGGGAATAAATTTTACTTACCGTAAATCGCCATATACAAGACCCGTGTGATGCAATTTTTTTCAATTGAAAAAAATTTAAATCACGTGCATTACGCATCACTTGATGTATAAATACTATTTTAAAAATTGATCTACATTATTTGTCACGCAGGGTCTTGTATATGGCGATTTACGGTAGTGGAAAATATTTAAGCGTGTTTATCATTACGATGAATATGCGTAAATTAATAAAGTTTATTACGTAATAACCTAATGATTGGTGACGTAATTCAAAATGCAATTTGTCGTAATGTAATAATTATTTATTACAAAAGTCGTAATTGTAATAATAATTACGACATGTCGTAATTATTACTACATGTAATAATAATAAGATAGCTGCGCAGCACGCAATGCCGCGCAGGACCAGCATGTAGTAATGATTAAACTTTAGAATATTTTGTTCAAAGATATACTGGTATTTATCTGCACTGATTAACATGAATAAAATGATCCTCAGTATACTAGAACAAATAGTTCACTTTTATCAAAAAGACTTTATTAAGTAAAATACTTCGATATTATTATTTAAATATTACAATAGTGCTATTATGTTTTAAAAGAAAAAGGATAAGATATTTGATTATTAATATCCCAGGTCACTTGTATTAGTTGCTTGATTCACCAATACCTAACGACCCAAGACATTATTATTATGAATTTTTTTGATATCTAAGTTGTTAAGATTGAATTAGTTTAGCTTTTGTAAAATTATCGCAATTGCAGGTTATTGCAAAAATTCTGTTACAGAACTTACTTGCTATTCCAGTATGTGGTTAAGCTGTTTTGTATTCAAATTATTGTGATTACTATCGTGAGTTACTGTAAAAATTCTGTCACGGAACTTACTCTTCTAGTGATGCTCTATATTGGTTAAGGTTGAATCAATTTGTATTTGAATTGTAATAGAACTTACTATTGTAGTGACCAAATTATGTGGATGAGCTAGTTTGTATCGAATTATCATGATTTCTATATTATACAATGTTTTGGGTGAAACTAATTTTCAAATCCGAAACGATTCACCCAGAAGAATTTTAGTTCGCCCTATAAGTCTGAAGCCAGTTTCGTCCTAGGTTGCTTTACAATTATCAAATTATTGTAAGAAAGTCTGTTACAAAATTCACTCTATTCCAGTAATATGCAGATGCAGTATGCAGTTAAGGTCGTTGAGTTGGTTTGTATCAGAATAAATGTGCTTGGTGCTTGAAAAAGGAACTAAATTGACATAAAAAAATTCTTCACAAAAATTAATTAACTTGCGAACTATTAATCATAATTATATGTTTTTGGTGCTATTCGATTCACCATAAAGACGAAACAAATGGTACCAAAACATATAATTTTGATTTATATTTCGTGAGAAAATTAATTTTTTGTGAAGAATTTTTTATATCATTTTCCCAGCACCAAGCCTAAAATTATAGAGTTTTTATCGTGAATTACCATAAAAAATTCTGTCAAAGAACTTGTTCACTATTTTAGTAATGACAAAAAGGTAAGTTAGTTTGTATTGGAATTACCAAGATTTTATTGTAAAAAATTTTGTTACAAACTTACTCGATATTTAATATGTAGTTAAGGGTTGAGTTAATTTGCAATGAAACTATCGTGATTTTATCATGAATTACTGTAAAAAATTCTCTTACAGAACTTTCTCGATATTACATATGCTCACCCGAGAAGCTGTAATAAATCCTTGATATATCACGGTTATTAATATTATGAATTATGATGTTGTAATTTAGCATTATTTTCCCACACAATTATTTTTACACAACCCAATCGTAACTATCAAAATTTTCCCATAAATATATCAAATGTGCATAATTCTTTTGTACTAGTAGCTTTACACAATTACAGCATGCTGTATTTTTGACGTACTGAAATTTTTACATAATCAGTCATGCTGCATTCTCACGCATGACTAGAATTACGTATAGACACATGATACCATGTCAATATTATTGCTATAATTAGAAAAATGAAAACCATTATTTACCGGTCAGAGGATATGTCACACAAACTGGACTGTTATATAATTTTCGAGTTACTTTTTGCCCCTATGCGATAAATAAATT